ATCCTTTCAAAAGTGCATGGTCTTAATGCCATGTTTTAAAAAGTTTAAACTCTAGAAAAAAGTCACAATTATCTCTAATATACTGTATAAATCAAACAACTTGCAACAACTAGAAGCTTTATTTCACTTTGGATGAACATATCAATATGATTTTGTGCGATTGCCTTTTTGCACGATTTCAACTTTCGTATACTCGAGAAAATTTCTGTTCTGCTTATCATCGTGCAGAAATTTAATTTTTGACCGACAAGAAAGACCATGTGACAAAAAGTTATTCTTTAGTCGATAGTAATTTTGGTACATCGATGCGATGGTGTATAAATTTTGTGGCATGCATCCCAGATTCGGGATGATCGTTAAAAATTTTTTTCGGATAGTCATCTAAACATGATTGCTATATTATTAACTAGACGACACAGTTTAATGCGATGTATTCATAACACCTCTGATCGATTTATTAAGCTGTCTCGTCCAAGATCATTCACCCATCTACAAAGGTTGGCCACAGGTTCGCAATTAATGTCGCATCATTCAATATTAAGGAAAGTAATTCCTAAATTGGTGAGAGGATATTCAAGTTCAACAGCGGAGAATCGAGATAACAATGATTCTATTAAGGCTTCAAATGGAAAGGCACCTTTAAAGCCAAAGAGAGTTTTGGCTAAGCAGTATGATCCAGTGAGTATGATTTCATTTGCTAACTTGAGTTTATGGTTATTGCGATTTTTTTCATTATGCGGGAATTTTGTTTTTAGGCTAAGGTTGAAGAAGGGTGGTATGAATGGTGGGAGCATCAAGGTGGGAACATTATCTTTAGGTGATTTAACGTTTTATTAAGCAATTAGATCAGGAACTGATATTATTTTTTTGAAAAAGGTTTTTTCGGGACTAAAGGAGTAACAAAAGAGGGAATGGATGAGCATTCTACAAAAACCTTCACGATGCTGTCACCGCCTCCAAATGTTACCGGGGATTTACATATCGGTCATGCATTGACTTTTAGTATTCAGGTGTCGATTCTTCTTTTATCTCAAAACTTGATTATTATTTTTTAAGGAAATTAAAGATATTTGTGGGTGTAAAATTAGGATTCATTAGCAAGATGGTTTAGAATGAGGGGTTACTCTGTGTCTTGGATTCCTGG